GTGCACTGTTCGTGTACTTGATAGAAAATAATCCATGAGAATCCAAAAAAACCCATAAACGATGAAGACCAAACATCTCCAGAATCTACCTGATGGTCCCCGAGATGTTTTGCTGGCCAATCTGTTAAACATAGGCACAAGAAATCTCAGTTGTAACAATAACAAAAATGGAAACAAGAATCCTGCTGTCGGCCTATCAGGAGAAAACTCATTTCCAAGACGGCTTTAAAGTTGAAGTACATTTAGACAAGTAACATGTTTTTAAATGATCCTCATGAAGGGTGAACAATATACATGCTTAAAAGTGGAAATAATGTCACTTCACAGCAGTGCTTCCAGAGCACTAGGGAAATAACTGCTAATAGTTTGAGAACAACCTTCCAGTTTCTACTTCTTTCGTCTAGTCTGGCAAAAGCAGCTCGTTCTTTCCGTGGATATTCCTTGGCCATTTTAATGGCATTCATTAAAGTCAAGGAAGATATTGCCCCCTGATTCACCCATGTCTTCTTCAAAGACCTTCATTTGCCCTTGTTTCCTCATGACAGAAGCCGCCTGTCACTGCGGAGGTCCTCACTGTGACTTATCTCTCTACACATAGTATTCTGCCTCATACAAATGATAATACTTGTTCATTGCTACTTTAATTTATTTTTCAATAAATCCACTTGATACAATTGGAGAAATGCAAACGGGGGAAAAGATATGTTCTAATCTCCCATTCATGAAACAGTGTCATAAGACCACAACAGAGAGAAAGTAATCCAGGACAAGGAGCATTTCAAGAGCTGTGGCCACACTTCATCTCCAACCACTACATACAGACAGAGCTCTGAAGGACAGTGTCTGGGGGGTAGATAGGATGTTACTTCTGTGCTGAAGAAGGCAATTGTGTGGTTCTCCTAAAAGGTTCATGTGGAAATAAATAAAAACACAAAGAAGTCCCCAAACCCACTGCTCCCGATGTTTGAAGAGTCAAAGAACCACAGAACTGGCACAGACATTAGAGAAAACTAAGACAGTCTTTTCTTTCCTAAGAGCAAAAGTGAAATCTATAGAACCCCAGTGAAATGCCCACGGTCACACACCTAGTTACTAATGGGACTAGGAATGATTAAATGCAATGGAAAATTTTAAGTGTTTGATAAATATTTCTCATTCTGAATGAAGATCTTTTTAATGTGTTATCCTTGGAATGTATCATCTCCAAAAGCCAAGAGAAGTACATTTGATCTTACTCAAATTTTTATATGACCATGAGTTTGAATTTTCAAAGTAGGGGATCATCGGGATTTCTATCCAGAAGGGTCAGGAGTGTAGACTAAGAATAAGAGGATGAAGATCTGTTGTTTAGGACTGTATGTTTACACATTACCAAAAAAATGGTGAGAAGTATCCACCTTTAAAATTGCCTTCTCCCTGGTGATCAAAACAACCCTGGTGATGAAAAAATAACTTCTACTGCTCTGTGACTCTACAGGAATTAACTATTTCCATTGAAATGTGAACAGTTCACTGAGTGTTTCAGAAGTAGGGTTACCAACTCAGGAAAATATCCCAAGAAAGAAGACTACAAATGTCTGATTATTTGGTTGTTACTACACATCCTGTGTTTTGAAATGACTGGTCCTAACATGCATTACAATCACTCTAGATTTAATATTGCCATCTTTAGCTTCCATTGTAGAACTCTACTGTCACTTGTTTCATCTGTAAACCATTTAAAGTTTAACATGAAGTTCAGTCATTTTAATATTGATGCAAAAGCCCTCTCCCTTTGTACTTTAAAAGTATAATTTTTTACATTTTAATTAGTGAGGCTGGAAACACTATGTGATATGTGACTTCTCACATAAAGAAACTGTGATCAAATCCATTAGCTCCCTGGGCCAGATAACATTACAACCACAGACCACAATCTCCTACCGTTAACTGGCCTAAATATTCAGGCAGGGGCCCTAGAAATGAATCGCATAGCCTGTCGTGTGCATCTGGTTATCAGACATGGAATAAAAACTTCTGTAAGTGGATTACAGAGGCAATTTCAACTAAACACAAATAACCTCTGTCATGGGTGAAAGGAATGAAAAAGAAAGAGGGACAATAATTTATAATTAACTAGAAGAAGCCTATGTAAATTAAAAGGGAAAAGTGACAAAGCACAGTCCTTCTGAGGCACTTATGTACAAAAGAAAATGGTAAAATTATGTTTAAAGGGATTTTTCTTTTATACTTTCACAACATAGCTCATCTGTATCAATTTTAGTATTTAATTTACCCTTGCATTTACATTGAGCCGGTTATGATTATATAACTTCAATAAAAGGCACGTTTCAGTAAACGCAGCACAATAGCTGAAAAGAAATTCGACCAGAATGAAAATGAATATATGGACTGCAAGGTCCGTATTCAGATGTCTGCATATTCATTTGCACTGATAATTTGTCGATGAGGAGTCTTGCAGAACGACAAGAAGGGATGTTTGCCTGGGTATCTTTCTGCAGAAGCAGCAAATCCCCAGAGGAGGCACTCAAGTATCACTGGTTACAGCGTGATCTGCTTGTCAGAGGCTGAGATGGTCACACACGGGACTCTGATCACATGTCTTCTTCCCTTGTCCTCAGCTCCCCTTTTCCACCCCATTTAGAAGCAACTGATCCTTTCATGCCAAGGAGAAAAGCTTCTATCACAGTCCCTTTGCAATCAGCCAACGCCTGCTACTTATTTTAGAAGTTTCTGAAACTCCCAATTTAAGCTGAGGCTTTGAAGCCTTGCAAGCAAGTGATAAACATTTTGTGTGTGTGTGAGAACCCCGTGATGCGACACAAACTACTAATGCAACAAATGCAAAACCTTACTAAGTCCAGAAAGGCTGGAATCTCTCAGGCATAACTATTCACGACACTGAACAATGTATGGGTTCAGTACTTTATGAAAGATTTCTAAAAGATTTGACGAACAAAGAGTAACTTGACACAAAGATGTATTCACGTGCTCATGTCAGTAACCACTCAGAAGTTTGTATCAGCTTTGCCATAAAATAAAAAAAAATAAGATGCTGAATGATAGGGACCAGCAAAGAAATCATACCCAAGGAGACACAGTGGGTTAATTTTTAGATCTAGGAAAGCTGAACAGTGGCCAACTCGGTACACTCTCCACCCTCTCTTCTTCATTGGACACTAAAAACTAGAGTCAATTCAAGGGTAAACTGCAGTAATATAGATGCTTCACAATTTCCCCTTTACAAAAAAGGGAAAAGCTCTGTGCTATTAAATCAATAAAAGTAGACTTAAGAAGAGTTGAGTGTGTCAGCTGATAGCGCAATTCTAATGACCTACTGCAGCCCTTAATTACAATAATATCTCAAGTGTTACATGTGCACAATGTCTTTTTATTAAAGCTGCAAACCTGAATAGCAGGATGATGGTCTGCACTACTGATTACTGTTTTCCTTATTTTTCCTTCCACAGACACACTTTCAGCTAGCTTTACCAGATAAGACCATTAACATTGGATGCTACCTAATTGCTTCTGCCACTCCACTCCGTATCAACCACTAACATATGACTCCACAAAGTTGACAGTTTGACTACCTGCCTTAGTTCTTTTGCATCATAATGTCATACAACTCCAAACAGTCTTAAAAATGAAGAAAAGGATTCTTAATGCATTTCCCCTTTACACAGAGTAACAACAACAACAAAAAAAAGAACTTGGGTAAACATAACCCGTTCTTTGGAAAAGAGGTAATTTTTGGTGAATTATTGACAGCTTCCTCTGTAATTACTTTCTTCCTTGGCTAGTTTTTCCCCCTACCAACTTGTCTTTACAGACTCACTTATAATTACTCAGATGTTGCTGGCAGTGTATCAGTGCAAACCGTTTCTTTAAAATAAAAAGGCTGCTACTCCCTCTAAACTCTTTATAATGTATAATTTTGCACTGTTAACCTGGTTTTTAAGATGCATACTTGTCACTTAGCATGAGCCATATATTCACACGTTACTTACTCAGGTTTCTCTTTCTTTCCCTATAAAGTTCTGTTTATCAACTTCTCTACGAAAAATGATCTAAACGCCTGTCTGGTTTACAGTAATTAGGAAAGGCGAGTCCTACTTAAAGATATCTTACTTCATAAATGATCTAATGAAGAGAAAATATTTCTTGCAAAATAAAAGGCGCTTTAAGTCTATTCATGGTCTAATTTGCAGATCTCCAAAGCCCTGAGACACCCAATCTTTAATGGTTTCTTCACAGGTCCCCATTAGCCCATTGCTGGGTAAATTCAGTGCCAATCTTTACTCACCTGAACTGTATCTAAGACATCCGTAAGGTGAACGATCTAGAACGTGAAGCCAGGACAGACAATACGTCCTTTCTCATTAATCCAAGCTGGAGGGCTGACTACCGGGCAACTAGCCGCGTACCAGCTGCGCGCACGGAGAAGTCCCCCGTGCATTCGAGACGCAGGGCGCCCTTTTCCCAGCGCACGCCTAAGGGACAGCCATCGAAGGGACGCAGGACGCCGAGCAGAGGCAAGCCCCGCAGAGGCACGTAGCCGCAGAATCCTAACACAGGGAGCAGCAGAGCACCCCTCTGTGAGTTCCACCTTCACGCAAGGTGGAGGACCCGCGCGCTACGTTTAACAGGACCTCTTCCCACGCAGGCACACCCACCTTGCGGGCTCAGACCGCAGAACCCGGCGGCCCCGCCGGCGCCGAGCTGGCCCCGTCCATCGCGGGGCACCAGGGGGCCTGCCTGGGGTCCCCGGAGGACAGCGGTCCAGAGTGCGGAGCCGCCGGATCTGCCCTCACCCCGCACTCGCCAGCTCGCGTCGCCCCTGGCGTCGGGCAGCCCCGGCTGTCGGGGCCGAGCCCGCGGCGGGGTGGACGCGCGTCCCGCCTGGCGGCCGCGGCGCAGGAACTTGCGGGCGCCCCGGGAACTCCTGCCCGGCGGCGCCCTCCCCGGCCCTCCCCGGCCCGGGCCGCGCGCGCACTCACCCGGGGCCTCGCTGCCCTCGCGGCGGCGTCCCGCGCCCGCCTCCCGGGCGTTCGCATCCGAGAGGGCGCGCGCTCAGCGGCCGGGCGTCAGCGGGCGCTCCGCGACCCAGGGCGCACGGACCGGCGCGCGGGGCGGACCGGCGGCACCCGCCGCGGCCTCCTGCTCCGACCGCGGCCCCTCCGCGGGGCCCGGCGCCCCCGCCCGCTCCGAGGTGCCCCGCTGGCTCTCCCGGGCGGCTCGGACGCCGGCACCGGCGCGAGCGGGAGCGCGCGTGCGGAGAGAGGGCGAGAGGGCGAGCGCGGGCAGCAGAGGGCTGCGGGCGCGGCGTGCGAGCCCGGCCCGGGGGCCCGCGCCTCGGGCACCTCGCGGAGCCCCAGCGAGGGCGGCTGGAGAGGCAGCCGCTGCCGCCCGCCGCCCGCGCGCACACACGCGCGCGCTCCCCCGCGCCCCGCGCCCCCGCCCTCCCGACACCTCTGCGCCGCCCGCGTCCTGCGCGGGGAGGCCGAGGGGGGCGCGGACGGTGGGAGGGGCCGCAGCCCGTCCATCTCGCCGCCAGGTGTTTGCATCCGAAAGAGCCGAGCGGGAGGAGTTCGGAGAATTTTTTCAAGCGCCCTCCGCTCCCACCCCGACCGTTCCTGAATGCCGTGATCAGTTGAGCTCCTGAGGTACGGAGTCAAAGTCATAAAACTACGCAGAACTTACAGTTTTCCTGCGTGATAGTTTTGTCCTTTCAATCTCCTCGGACTGCCCTAGTTCTACTTTCTACTAGCAGAAAATTTCTTCCCCTACTGGGCTTTCTAATGCAAAACTTCCGAGCCGTGTGATTTACGCGCAGGGTGGGAGGAGGACCCTCGCCAGATGGGGAAGGGGATCTGATCTTTTATTTAGAACACGCTGCAGCCAGTAGAGTTGAGCACGTGTCGTTTTCCTCTGTGCTTGATTTAACCTTTGGTGTTCTGTCTTAGGGGTTGGGAAGGTGAATAGATCTTTCCAATTACGTTCGTTTTTATATTTCTCACCGTGTCAGTAGGACTTGCCCTGCTTCTTTTATCCATCCTCAGCAGGGACTCTTGGGGCACCGGCTATGTGGGCACAGGGTTGTTGATGTCAGCATCCCTACTTTCTCATTCATTCAGGTACACCCTCCCTGCCCCCAATGTAGTCCCTCCTGTCCATTCTCACGTTTTTACTTTCATCTAGTTAGTCTTTTTGTTTTTTTTGGAGAGCCAGGGAGAGGACAGAGCTCCTGGCTCGCGCCAAGAGGGGACAAGAGAGCCCCCTAGTTAGTATTTAAAACTGAATTATATTCTAATAATTCTAGCAAATATTTTTTGATCTCTGCATAACTTCCAGATACCATGTTATGCTGTTAACATTGCTTCACTTTAGTCTCCAACCCAAAACCTCCCCAGCTCCAGGCCTGCTTGGATGGCTGTTTCATAGTTCATTTCCACTCAGCTGTCAGTCATTGCCCAAAGGATGTTTTCAACAGACCTCCTTATCTCTTGAACCTCAAACCTTCCAATATGCACTACTTTATCAGACACACCATCATTCACCTGGTACCCAGATATTAAGCCTTAGCTTCATTTGAGGTTTTTAACATGTTTTTCTGTGTTAAAATCCTTTATTGTTTTGGCTCATATCAAACAATCTAGAACTCTACATTTTTCCAGTGGCCGTAATACACATTTGTCTTGCTTTGTGCTTTGTCTAATGATCCTGCTTCTGGGATGGGTCCTATTTTTATATTGTTCTGGACTAAAAGCTTAAGGAGGGCCAAGACTGATATTCAGTATGATTAAGATACAGCATTCTATTTGGCCTATAGTAAATATTTGTATCCCATCTAGTAATCACCACAATTCTGAGCACAACAAGCTATTTGTAAGCTGCTTGTCAATTGGCTGGATCCTTCATCTGTCAAAGATGCTATTGTGATCAGGAATCAAGTACTGCTTCATATTTATTTGTTAGCTTATTTTAATCAAAGGACACCACATGTGAAAGGAAGAAATTTGGTGACCATTTTTTAAAGTATTTTGGTTATACTTTTCCTGGAGTTTTCCTTTATCTGCACCTCTGCATAAACATTCATCACAAATTTGGCCTTCCCTCCCGAACCAGATGTTTCCGTGATATCTGCCTTTTTAAAAATTTCCTTTAGCCATAACCTTTACACAGATCCTAGAAGTGGTATAATGACTTCAGTTAACCAGACTACTATTTCTGGTTCTGGCAGTAAGATGCTGTTGATCCTAAAGGAAGATCTAGGTTGCTCTCTACTTAGAGGGTACAACCTAGTGGGCAAGGATAAGAACATAAGAACGGGGCATAATTCAGACCGTAACTGAAGGGCAGCCTTTATCTGGGGACATCAGGGACAGTCTCTCTGAGGAGATGGCGCTCACACTGACATGATGATGAAAATGAGTTTGACTTGGAAAGATCTGTAGGGAAATGACCTGGGCAGAATAAGCAAGGGCAAATGATGGTGAAAGGAGAAAGTTGAGAAACGTAGAGTATATAGGAAGGGGAGAGTCAAGATGGACTCTGTTGGCATGGTGGGCAAGGGACCATCACAATAGGCAAGGGACTCATCACGGTGGGCAAGGGACACATCATGGTGGGCAAAGGACCATCATGGTGGGCAAGGGACCATCACTGTGAGCAAGGGACACATCACAGTGGGCAAGGGACCATCACGGTGGGCAAGGGATATGTCACGGTGGGCAAGGGACCATCATGGTGGGCAAGGGACACATCACAGTGGCAAGGGACACATCACTGTGGACAAGGGACCATCATGGTGGGCAAGGGACACATTTTGCCTGGCCCTCTAGTACCCTCAGTGGTGTTAGTATCTCATTCTCAGGTGGAAGCCCAGAATTAGGAAGGACAAATTAAAGAAGTGCTCCCCAGGATTATGCTGTGGTCACATCTAGAGACAAGGCAGTTTTTATTAGAGTCTTTTTCCTCTCCCATCCTTTTCCTACAACTTTTCATTGATTAGAAAACATAGTTTTCTGAGAAACACACAAATAAAAGTTTACTATACTAGATAAATCCTAAGGTGCTGCCAAATGTTTAAGATTCCATTAAATACAAATGTAAGTCATACAGCATATGATTATTTATGAAATTTCATGTGTTTCCATATAATTTTCAAATTTATGTTTTAATATTTCTGTTCTTACATATAATGATCTTTTGTGAATCCCCTCAGCTGAAGGCTTCATTTCTTCAGTGTCATATGAAGTTGTACACAAATTTGATGAATGTTCTCTTTTCTTCCCTCCTCAAAGAATATCCTCCTTTCAATTCATTTTTATTCTTGATTAAAGCAATAAAATTGTCTATGCCAGAACAGTATTTTAGAAGAGGAGAAATCAGAAAAAGCAGAACCCTCTCATGGTTTCTGTTGGTGTAGAAAGTATTTCCCTACTTGCCCTGTATCCCAAAGCAGATTTGATGCGAGTAAGAAGTTCCTGATGAGGTTGCTGACTAAATTATATTCATATTCATTCCATCTGATCTTACTCTGAAACCAAAGATGAGTCTCAGGTATCTGGCAGCTAAGGGCAGAAGAGAGCTGATCATTGAGAACTCAGTAGTTCTAGAAATTCAAGGGAACCATGGTAGGGAATCTTCAATGTGACAGGACAGAAGAAACACAGAGAAAGAAAGGTCTCATAAAATTGGATGATTTATAATTTCTTGTCACCGTCTCTGCCAGTATAAACTTGTGGATAATACTAAAAATGTATCTTCTCATTAGGGAATGCTTGTTATTTTCCTGAGAATGTCTATGCTCTTTGGTTTATTTTATTGAATTAATTATGCTTCCATCTTCTAGAAAAGCAAGAACTCTCAATATAATCATTCACTGATTTGGTAAATAGTAACTGCACACCTGCTGTGTGATCCCTAGACTAGGGAAGGGAACCAGAGATGAGTAAGATGCAGTTCCTATCTTCAGGAACGTTCCAACCTTTTGTGACAATAAGGAGGTACATACATATCCACACACCATGCTTAGAAGTGTGATGAAGCATGCACATGTCCAGTGTGGGAGCCGTAAAAGGGGCCACAGAATTGAAGTCCTAAATGGAAAGAGAAAATGTTTGGAATGTACTGTGAGGACAATGGGCTGTACCACACGGAGTTTTGTGGAAGAGAACTAGGATCACAACTGCAGTAGAAGGAACCCCCTGGCAGCATAAGTCAACCTTGGACTAGAGGTGAGGAAATCTTTAGGATGTTATTGCAGAAATGCAGGTGAGAAAACTCTTGGCCTGCATTGAATTAGTTGTGGCACTAATGTATGAAAAGATCTTGGCTGTAATCAGGAAATATCAATAGAATTAAACATTTCCTTGCCATCAATTATCAGTAAGGGAGCATAAACGAACACTAAAAGAAGATAGAATCAGCACCATGGTGAATCACCCCCCAACTTCATCTCACTGGTGACTGTGGCCCTCACAGAATGCTAGACTGGAAGAATCCAGTCTGAGATAATACAGTTTTTCTGTTTGCGGTCTTCCCACGGGTTCCTTTTCCATTACCCAAAAAGTTAGTCTGTCCACAAATGAATACTTACTCGGAGAGTAGACAACTCAGTTAAAGGGCCCTGAAGATATCCACAGAGCAAGTGAGTCTGATACAGCACAGAATTGCTTAGAACCTGCAAAGATGTCTATGGGAGTCCTAGGAATTCTCTCCTTGAAATTTCTTCCAGGTGAAGAGCAGGGCAGTAGGCCTTTTAGGAGGACAAAGTCTGGGCCAGCAGCAGTGAAAATCAGCAGGAATTTCTCTGAGCGCCAAAGATGTCGCTTCAGCCCCTAGGTTTTGGTAGCTTATCCTGACCTGAACCGCTTAGCAAACGCCCACAGAAGGGGAATGGGAATGAATGACACATGGCGGGGCTGGAAGCAAAGGCGAAGAGCCCATTTCTCCTCTGATCTGAGCAAAGGAAGTCATCTAGACTATCATTCGCATCCCCTCCAGATACACAGAGCTGCCTCTCGGGGCTTGAAGATATCTGAGACATTGGGGCTCACTGGGTTTCGTTTCAAAGTCCAAGTAGGGTTTTCTGCTGCTACCTGCCAAAATTTCTCAACAGTTTGTTTCTGAAGAACAAACTCTAACAGATGAACATCTTATTTTTGGAGTTTGGTATTAAATACTGAAGCAAGAGGACACTTATTTCAATAGCATGTGATACTACCGATGTGCAATCGTGTCTCTGAATTTGGAATACTTGAAACAAGAATTACTTCTAAAAGTGCAACACAAATCAAAATTGTCAGAAATAATATAGCTAGGCCTGTGCTGTCTCTTGAATTATCATTATTCCATAAAGGCCTTCTAAACTTTCAGAGAGAAGAGCAATAA